AAAATTGGTATCAGTTACGCAAACTAAATTATGACATATTAACCAAATGATTATCATTACGCAAACTATACATCTGATTTTTATAAAAATTTTAAAATCTATGCAAATAAAATTTTATGACTTTTCTGAAATTTTATAATGTGGTTAAGCAAACTTATATGTGACCTTTATATGTATTTTTCAGGGTTCTGCGTGAATCATAGTTCACGTGATCTGTAAAGAATTTATGATTCCTGAGCAAAATGAGCTATAATACTTTTGATTTGAGTACCTGTAAGCTTTGAAATATTATCTGCACTATAGGATTGAACCCTCTTGACTTTTTTAATCCCTATTTTACTGAACAATTCAAAAATATTTCTTACCTTCTATGTCTTCTTACGTAAATTTTCTCTTGTAATGTTTGAAAGAGGTTTTAAAATTGCATTATATACCTGGGTTCTAGCCTGTTGATTTTTAACCCTCTTATCATTATCTTTAACATCCTTAACACTTTTTTCAAACCGTTTAGCATAGTAGTACTAACAGTAAATTTTCTCTTGATAAGCTTTGATTATATGCTTTTTAGCCTTAATTGCTTTTTGGAATAATCAAGCTAAATTCTGCAAGATCAAACCCTTAGAACTCTCATCCTCATCATTGGTTTTGGTAGTCTCCCCTTAATAAGTGTAGATAATTCATGTAACAATCCTCAAAATCTTTCCTGTTCACGATTGGTTCTTGGGAATGTTTCTCTTGATGATCAGATTTGTGTCTTAGCAATGTCATCTTCAGTTGTTTGACTAGTCGAATTATCCATCCTTCAATCATAGATTTTAGGGAATAAACAGAATGAAAGGTAAGTGTAATTACTACATATTCCATTTTCACTGCATTACTTACTTTATTTGAGAACTATGATTATTATTCCCATCATCATCATTTTTAGCATCATCAATGATATCTGATAGCTCTGATATCTCTTCCACATACACAATTGAACTTGTTGCTTGATCATGCGTAATAACTTCAGTTCTCTTTCCCCCTGACCTGTAAGAGAATCTTTGTCTTCTATAGTATCATCACTTAAGGGGTCTTTTTTTCTGAAATCCTTATTCTTAGACACCATGTGATATTCACTAGAAGCTAGTGCAAGTTCCTCTCTAATAAGTTCGATAGGTGATATACAACTAGAAATAGGGCATAAAGAAAAACGTGTTTTTGATTATATAATATGTTTTTAAGATATATTCAATAGTATATATGTCTACATGATAATACTGTGAATGAATTGAGTAGTAAGGCAAGAATTTCTTTATCGCAGAAGTGACAAGGATTAAGTTTTATGGTATGTTCATCAGTTATTTCAGAAGTGTTTTTTAGAAAATTTAATAAAAGTGCTTTAAGTTGAAAAACCTCTGTATCATCCGCATGAATTTCTGAAGGACTTGCTGATAGTTCGCTAATTATACTGTTAAATCATAAAGAAGATTTCTCGCCCTTTTCTTCCTACATAAATATTTTTTAATGTATCAAGACTAAAACGAAATTAGCCTTACCCCAAGAAAATTTATCTCAAAAATAAACGTTTCAGAAATGGGCATCTCAGAAATAGACATCTCAGAAATGAGCATCATGGAATAAAAATCACGAATAAATCAGGATCAATAATGAAAAGATATGTATAATACCAATTAGTTTATATTGTTCGATTTTTGCCAGACATGATTGTTGCAAAACATGAAAGCCCTAAGATAAATATGATAATCCCTCCTTCGATCAAAGATCTTCAGGAGAAAAGTTTTCTGATTATTTCTATACATCAACTTCAAAAAATTTTTACTAAACATTATTATCTTATCTTCTGCCCTCTATGCTTTTACAGATACTATTGGAATTCCACGATTAATAGGGCATTTGATATGATAAGTTTGTTCACTATAATATTCACCCGCATCCTACTCACCTCTTATATCACTCTATAAACTTTCTTCTTTATGGTCTCCCTTACATATTGGACAAAGTGTTGAGTTATTAAGATTAAATCACTTACAATGTTCACTACTATCTCTCAAAGATAAAGAAGGAAACCGCTCTAATACCAACCTAATAATATATTTTCGTTTCTCTTCGGGATCTTCAGACAAGATAGAAATTAGAAGCCTGGACTTCTTAGATGATATTACCTGAGACACCGATGATGTACTTATAGCTACTGGACTAATTTTAAAGAAACCATCTGAAGAATTGCCATTAAGGCGCTTCGCAGAGATGTATGTTAAATTAATAGGTGCAGTTGAGATGCTTACCTTAGCTGAGTCTAAGAGATTCACTTGTACCTCTATTACATTATTCTGATCGTTATCTTGTTCTTCATCCTCAGGATCATCAGTGAATTCCATATTTGGTTTTTCGGTGAAGTGATCTATAATTGTTTGAATCTAAGAATTAGAAAATTTTAAAATAGTATTTGTACTATAGGTTTTTATGTATTGAATCTTGTTCATTCCTATTTTTTCGAATAAATTATCGATTCTTAAAGCTCCCTGTATTTGCTTACATAAGGTTTTATGCTTGGTGTCTAGAAGTTTCTTGATAATAAAATTATATACAAGTCCTTTCGCTTTCTTCTCCCTAACTCTATCATTGATCATAAAATCTCTATAAATGCTTTTGAATTCCCTAGAAAAGAGGCACTAACACAGTATTTCTTTTCTATTGGCTTTAATTACGTCATCTTCAGCATTGCATGCATCTTTGTAAAGACTAATAATATCTACACTCCTCTCTTGATCCGGCGGGAGCTGGGATGTGTCTGAAATAGATTGAGTTGTTAAAGTAACATGATTTGATAGCTCCAGTATTTTTTCTTCCTTAGATGATATAATTTCTCGAATCAAGCCCTGCTTGTTTTTTTACTTATGCGAATCAGATGAAGTCGAAATCTCAGTATTATTCGATTGACAAGGAGTAGAGATAGGAATCTGGAAAGTCAAAAGTGATTCCTGAACAATTGCCTCATGCAGAAGTTTCTTTTTCTTATTGCGTTGCCTTATCCTATCACTAACACTTTTCTTTTGCACTAAGTCTAAGAATTCATCGGTCTTTCTATCGTCTTCGCAAAGTGAAGGGTTTGCAGGTATTATTACCTCTGATACTACATTACTTGCTTCGCAGTCAGGCTTGTGATGCTCGAGCTGAACTGCCATATAGTCAGGTACATTAACAGCCCCACCTTTACTAATTCTTTCTTGAGAGAAGAATCTCCAATGTTCTGACTTTGCCATTTGACCTCCACATTATCATTCCTTAATTCCTCTACTTCAGCTTTGAGTTTAGCAATCTCAATATCACGCCTAGCATTTTCAGAATCACGTCTGATATTATCCTCAATAATCTGTCTCAATTTCACATTCTCGACCTCAACCTTACTGATCACGGCCTCAAGCTCAGTAAATTTCTTCCTAACTTCAGAAATATCAGGATTCTCAGCCTCAATCAGCTTAACGATATACTGTCTCAATACTTTAAACTTTGATGACATGATCGATATCACTCCATACTGTATATAAGTATTTAAAATCGATTAAAATATAGGTTATTTTGTATTCGATTTGGACGACCTTAGGTCGCTGAAATTTAAATTTTCATCTCCAAACTGCTCTAAACTTTGAGGAATTACATTGATTGATTTTCAGCATTTTGCGGTCTCCTGAAGGGACCTTGCCAAGAAAAAAAAATATTAATACATGCAAAAATAAATACAAAGCTCAGAACTATGCTTGCGATACATTATATCTATTTTAATATACATGATTATTTTTTCGAATGATAGACACACATGGTCCCTTTTGGATTAAATGGTAGATCAAGATCAGTAGCCGCCGAAGGCGTATTGCTAGTAGCTATATATATTGATAATATCAGATATTTCATCATTTTCTGTAGACTCTGATTTCGGGTCTGAATTGTGCTCATCTTCAGGATCAGAATTTTCTGATTCTGTATTGCCTATAGCATAATTATCACCTGCATTAAAGTGGTCAGATTCTTGTCTTAATGCGATTCTCGAAAGCAGTTTAAGATGCTAGGAAGTTGGGTTCTTACCACCATGAATTCTGGAAGCGTATTTACTTCCATAATCTCTTAATTTTTTAGATATAGTTCTATAAGGCTCTTGCTTTAAGAATTCGTTAAATGGCCAAGCATTTTGTGTTTCACTTTCAGTATAGACAGGATCACGTAACTTTTTAGCTTTAATTATATCTCGAATCTAGGTGAGTAATTCCCTAGCACTTTCTGGATTCTTCTCTATAGAAAGAAAAGGTCAGGGCTCAGGATTCTCCTTCTTTTCTTCTCTTTTCTTTAAATAGCCTGTGCAGTACCAAGAATAGCCTTCTTTATACCATGCTGAAATGTTCGAAGGATCCAGTTCATAATGATTAATTTAAAGAGATCTTACTTCTCCTAATCTTATACTCAAAATCACTATTACATTCGCAAGATCCTCTTTAGTAGGAATTTTAAAAGTATCAATATTTTGAAGCCTTTTACTCACATTTGCTAAGGAGAAATATATGGGAATTCTGTCTGGATTAGTTAGGTTTTCAGGTCTTTGAGGTAGCCATTTTGGTAGCCATGTTAATATTAACTGTTATTTAGTTATATTAAATGAGAAAAAATTTAATTCGAAAAATTTCCTCAGAGCTATACTTTTTTGAAAAGGAAAAATATCAGAGATGGCTCTTAACTAAATTAAAGGAGTGAAAAAATGACATAGCTTATGCTCTGCCACTAAGGCGCTTCGCAGACTAGTATAATATATTTTTGAATATTTATAATAAAAATGAAGATATGTTTAATGTATATTAATCTTAAAAACTTTTTCAGAAAGAAGTAATATGCCTTTTGGTCTCTTTGGTAAATATATATCTGATTCAGAGGACTCTATAGATTCTAATTATCCATCTTGGTCTTGCCTATATAAGAAAAAAGATAGGTCTATTTGCGGGAAAAGATACTTTTTCAAGGATGGGTGTGTCAAACACTATAGGTCTCTACCAGAAAAAATGTGCGCATCCTGCTGTAATAGGCTGACTGGCTCTTGTATGGATCATGCCAAATCAGTTTATAAGAAAATCTGGCTAGAAAGTCACAAAAAAAGTGAATAAGATTTATAACTTTGACCGAAGGCACTAAAGCAAAGGAATTTAAATATCTATAATAAAGTGAAAGCGAAGTTTTAAGATTATTAATATCAAAATTATCTCATATGGGTCGTTTTATCTGCCAATACATTAAGAGAGATGGTTCGATTTGTGGGAATGGAAACATGAGTGATTTAGGATGTTTCAGACATTTTAATGCCCTTCCTAGAACAATATGCCTCATCTGTAAAAAGAGAACCTATTTTGATACTAGAATCTGTAGTACACATAGCAGATTTTATGATCGTGTTTGACGCAAAAGTAAAAAACTAAAACAGAATATAATATGGTTAAGACTTAGCTGAATAACGATCTTGGCTGAAGTATTATTTGTTCTGCCTTATAGAATCAAAGAGTTCCTGAATATCGTTATCTGTTTTTAACCTATATGGTGAAAGTTCTGGTGCACCTTTATCTCTGAAACCAGTACTGTTATATAGCTGGTGATTAATTTTATATGAGTATTTCTGAATTTGTTGTCCTTTAGGTCCTATACTTTTTTGATTACTTTTAATAGTATAGCCACACCAATTGCCAGCGATTGCATTGATTGCTTTTATAGCTAAGTTAAGATCTGGTATTTTTTTGCATGAGACTTAAAGCCAAAGAGTAATAAGGAATTATCTCAGATTCCTATAAACCTTTCACAGGATTATGTGAATGTTTCTGATACAATATTACCAGAAAGGATACGCTTATCATCTATACCAGTAAAGCTCAGTATTTGAAAAGTTTTCTTATAGCTTCCCAGTGATTTGCCGAATAAGATTTATGCAAGTTCTCTGCCACTGATTTTTTCAGATTTTCTTCGACTTTATAGCAGGCCATTTCCCATTGTGTAGTATCCTTGGCTTTTAACCCTTTCATTGCACTCTCTTCATCATAGCAATGCCTCTGAAATTGAGATAATTACAAGAAATGTTTCTGAGGTTCGGGTGAATTGAAATATTTTACAAACTTTTTATTGCAAAGATTGTCTCAAA